CCCCCCCCCCCCCCCCCCCATTTCACCCTCCAGAAGGGAAACTGAGGCACGCATCCTCTCTAATCCTCCTCCACCTCCTCCTTTATGACCAAAGGCCTCTCAGATTCACCCCCATCCCCTGGTGGCGACCCCCCCTCCTCCCGAAACAGCTCCAGCACCCCCAGCTCCCCCAGCCTGGCTCTGGCCTGTTCCTCCCAGCCCTTATTGGCGCGGGCGCTGCGGGGCGAAGGATGGGGGAAGCCTTCGATCCTTACGGTGACGCCGGCGGCAGCCAAAGCCCTGCGGGCTCTTTGCTCAGCGAAACGCCCGATGCCCACCACCATCCGGACCCCCAGCAGCCCCACGGCCCGTGCCAGAGCTCGGTCACAAAGCCCCATCAGTTGGACACGTTGGGCAGGGGGCAGCTCGCTAGGGGCAAGGTTGCGACCGCTGGAGGCGAGGAAGAGGAGGGGGCAATGATTGTGGACGAAGCAGTGACGAAAAAAGACGTGGGGGTCTGGGCAGAGGGTCCGGACCAGGCCCCAAAAACGGGTGCCGCTCACCTCTGCCCTCTTGCAGGTCAGACCCAACACCGGACGCTTGGGATGCTCCGATGGAGGTTTCCCCACCTCGCCGCTGACGCCCAACCACTCGCGGACGTGGCGGGTTTCACCAAACGGGACCTGTGGGGGGACAGGGAGAGGGGTGAGAAGGGGGGGAGGATGATTGCTGAGCTGTGCTGGCCCCACGTTGGGCTCTGGGGGGGGGAACAGGGCGGCACAGGCGGCCCCAAAGCAGCACGGAGATGTTCCAGCTTCAGACCCCCTTCCACGTGACGGCGTGGGGACAGCGTGCAGCGCCCCATAGCACCCCTATGCGCCTCCTGGTCCCGTCTGCGCCTCGCTTTTCTCCCCCATAGCTGCTATTGAAGGGTCCGTACGCATCCCCCCTTTGGGTACAGCCGCCCCACAGCGCCTCTGGAGCTGCCCCATCTCATCGTGCCTCAGTTTCCCTGCCCTCTGGCTCTGCAGAGCCTCACGGAGCCCCTCTGCGCTTCAGCTTCGCTCCCTTTCAGCCCCACGAAGCCCTGTGGGGTTCAGCCCCATCATCACCAACCCCCTCGGGCAGAGCCAACTCTCAAGCAGCCCACAGCTCTCCATTTCCCCATCTGTGTGATGGCAGAGCAGCACATCGCACACCCCACGCACACCTCAGTTTCCCCCTCACCTCCACAAGGACGCACAGATTCCCCATAGACCCCCCCCC